AAAAAAAAAAAAAAAAAAAAAAGAAATGGACATACACTGGTTCCTATGTGGGGAATGGATTGTGCATTAATGGAGAATGGGCCAATAACGTGGGTGAGAGATAATAGGAGTAGGGCTTGGATCGGGCCATGGTGGTAGTAGATCCAGGAGGCAGAACTACTGGGACTTACCAACATATTGTTTCCTCTTATTTTTTGTGATAGTTCATAAACCAGAAAAGGTCACTTGGACAGAAGCAGCTGGAACCATTCGGGATGGAGTTCGAGCCTACACAGCACTGCATTACCTTTCTCAGCTCTCTCCAGGAAAGTCAGTGCTGATCATGGATGGAGCGAGTGTAAGTGCTAATGCTGTTAAGAATCAGACCCACATGCAGTACGTCTGGGGAATCAGAAATGAGGTATACATTTGCTAATATAATTCTTTGCCAATAACCTTATTTACTGATTTTTTTTTTACCATCTTCTCATTTTGTTGTAGTAAGTAGTGTGTTTCCCCGAAAATAAGACACTGTCTTATATTTATTTTTTCTCAAGAAGACACACTAGGGCTTATTTTTAGGGGATGTGTTCCTCTCCGCCCCAAAATGCATGGCGTAGCTATGCAGATACGCTGCATAGCCACACCTGTCACTAGGTCTTATTAGGATACGGCTTATATTTAACAAATGCATAGAAATCCTGCTAGGGCTTATTTTTTGGGTAGGTCTTATTTTCGGGGAAACACGGTAGCTTTTAGCAATAGGACAGAAATATTAGGTCTAGTGTGATTAGTTTCTTACTACTTTGGATCTAGTAAATTAAAGACAAACCATTTTTATTCATTCCTGTTACACAAAGCCTGAAACAGCTCATGAGTCTTCAAAGTCCATACTGCAGAACTCTACCAGTTTTGTATCATATTTCTCACCTGTAAACTTTTATTAGTAAAGTGTTGGCATTTTATAGATAGCTCACATATAAGATCAAAGTGTGCTGATTTAAACATGTTAGATGTGTTGTCCAAAAAAAAAGTTGAAGTCAACAGTAAAATACATAAAAATATTATAATCTGAAAATGTGGAGACAGATTTATACTCTGTGTGGCTTTTGATGAAAATGCTTTCTCCCCTGCTTTTCTTTGAAGAAAAGGCAGAGCTGACTTCGGCATTGGCTTCAGCCTGATGTCCAAATCAAGATAGTAATATTTCCCCAAACTTACCTATGGGTCCAAAATAGGAAGGAGCCTTTGAAGTGCTTTGTTCCTCAAGGAAAGGTAGCTGTACTCCCATATGTACTTTATAATTAGCTTAGATCATCTTGCAGACAAGGCCCATAAAGGACTATTCTGCTCTTTCCAAGGCCATGTCTCTGAATGTGGCCTTCCATCCTTGAAATTATGTGCTATGGTCAGACTGGGTGAAAGCATATGACATGTGCAGCTTTTCCACCATCCCTTCTGAAGAAGAAAGTCAATCACATGTTTCCCTTACTGAACTTATTTTCTCTTTTCCTATTAGATAACAGAAAAGTCAATTAGATATCTAGAAAATCAATCACATATTTCCCCTACTGAACTTATATTTTTTCTCTTTTCCTATTAGATAACATTTACAAGTAGACTAAAGTGGGTGTAGTGGCTAATGCCTGTATTCCCAGGACTCTAGGAGGCTACAGCGGGTGGATTGCTTGAGCTCAGGAGTCCAAGACCAATCTGAGCAACAGCAAGACCCTATCTCTACTAAAAAAGAATAACCAGGCATTGTGGTAGGTGCCTATAGTCCCCAGCTACTTGGGAAGCTGAGGCAAAAGGATCACCTGGACCTAAGAGTTTGAGGTTGGTGTGAGTTATGATGCCATAGCACTCTAGCATGGGGCAACAGAGTGAGACTCTGTCTCAAAAAGGTAAAATAAATAATAAATAAAAATATACTAAAGTAACAATAAAGAATTAGACTTTATTAAACAAGCCACAAATTGAATAGATATGGCCTCTGCCTTATAAATATAAAACCATTGTATATTTTTTCCCACACAGGCATTTGGTACAATAGCTATTCAGTTAGCACACCATAGGGGAGCCAAGGTGATTTCAACAGCATGCAGCCTTGAAGACAAGCAGTTCCTTGAAAGACTTAGGCCTTCTATAGGTAGGTAATATTATTCAGCAGCCTTTAAAATAGGTAATTTTGAAGGGAAATCACTTTAAAAACTGTACTTAGAAAACAAAGTACAAAATCCCAAATGCACTTGGTGGCCAGGTGCAATGGCTCACACCTATAAATCCTGTACTCTGGGAGGCCGAGGTGGGTAGACCACCTGAGCTCAGGAGACCAGCCTGAGCAAAAGAGAGCCCCTGTCTCTACTAAAAAAAACCTAGCCGAGTATTGTGGCGGGCACCTATAGTCCTCAGGTACTGAGGAGGCTGAATGAGATAAGAGGATCAATCGCTTGAGCCCCAGGGTTTGATGTTGCTGTGAGCTATGATGAAAACTATACTCTACCCAGGGTGAAAGAATGACTTGAGACTGTCACAAAAAATAATAATAAAAATAATAATAAAATGGACTTGATATCTATGGCTAAGTCTAAATTTACTTACATAATGGTTTTAATTTTACTGTTTGAAGTTTTATAAACTTAACATCTTTCGGTGTTTTTCTCTTCTTTGTTCCACTGACATCAGCAACTTGTCCAAGTTTGAATTAGGTGAACTTGGACACAACTTAGAAATACCCAATGCCTCTTTGGTTTTACCAGTAAATCAATATAGTTTTTGCACCCTTTTGTATGTTTCTCAACCTCTTTTACCCCGTGATGTACCTCTAATTTTATCTACTTTCTGTAATAGACTAGGAAGGGAGGTGATCCACTTACACAAACACACAGGTCATCAGAACATAGTTTATGATGAGCAGGACGTGGTTGAGGCTAGTGAACTCTTTTAAGTGAACCTAGGGCAGCGCCTGTGGCTCAGTGGATAGGGCACCGGCCCCATATACCGAGGGTGGTGGGTCGAACCCGGCCCCAGCCGAACTGCAACAAAAAAATAGCTGGGCGTTGTGGCGGGCGACTGTAATCCCAGCTACTCGGGAGGCTGAGGGAAGAGTTGGAGGTTGCTGTGAGCAGTGTGATGCCACAGCACTCTACCAAGGGCAATAAAGTGAGACTCTGTCTCTACCAAAAAAAAAAAAAAGTGAACCTATCCAAACAGCAATGAATAGGGAGAGGAGGAAGAAAATAAAGACTGAAAATAATGTAAAACGAGAAGAGAAAGATAGGAACAGAAAAACTTTACAAATGAAGAACAATGAGAAGGAGCAGAGTAAATGAAGGGCAGACAGGAGGGAAAGTAATAGTTTTTTGATGTTAATTTGGATGTTACTTCCTGAAATCCTTAATAACTGTAGGTTGGCCAACCAGGAAACAGCATCTCAGAGCTGTCAAGGATACAAGCTGACCTTGAGTATGTCAAGGATACACAACTAAGGACTGGAAGGAGATTTGAACCCAGGCCTATCATTAAAACCTATGTTATTTCTATTATTACATTATGCTTCTAGCAGAGCTAACCAAGAAATGAAAAGAAGGTAATACACAGGCTGGAAAAAGGAGAAAAGAAAGAAAAAAAGAGATTTGAAAATAGAATGAATACAGAAAGAGAGCATTTTTAAACAGTCTTGCTGAAGGGAAAGTTTCCTTATTTGTTTATTCTGCCCTTCTTGAATTTCTTCAGACCCTTTCCCTTGTGGCCTCTTTGTCCTTTCCCTTCCCCCAAATCCTAATTACTGTTGTGCTGTACCTCTAATCTGAGGTACACAATACTGAGAATAATTCTCTTCAACAGAAAGATGTTAAACAATACAAAAATGAAATACAAACATGTGTCTTATTTGCCAGTTCAAAACTCTGAGATTTTTAAATGTAATTTAGTAAATAAAGCAACCAGTTAAATTAGTTTAATTTTTACTAATTCTGCTAAAAGTCCTCGTTTTTTTCTTCCTTACTTTCATAATTTTTCCTCATTTAGGGGAAAGAGGGGGGAAAGTAGGAGGCATTTTTATGACTGAGAAAGGATTAAATAGCTTCTAGTGGATAATTACCATATTGCATGAGTAGAGATGATCCTTGACTTAACATTGTTTCAACTTAAGACTTTTTTACTGTATAATGGGTTTAAATGTGGCATTAAATGCCTTTTTTACTTAGGAATTCATTTCAGCTTGTGTTGGGATATAACCATTAAGTTGTGAAGCATCTGTATATTTTGTACTTTTTAGCTGTAAATGCTATTAAATATTAGCATACTTAAGAAACTGCTTAATCTTCTAATTTATGGCTCAGCACCTGTAGCTCAAGCAACTGAGGCACCAGCCACATACACCAGAGCTGGTGGGTTCGAATCCAGCCTGGGCCTGCCAAACAACAATGACAACTACAACCAAAAAATAGCCAGGCGTTGTGGTGGGCACCTGTAGTCCCAGCTACTTGGGAGGCTGAGGCAAGAGAATTGTTTAAGCCCAAGAATTGGAGGCTGCTATAAGCTGTGATGCCACGGCACGAGCCTGAGGCTCTGTCTCAAAAAAAAAAAAAAAAATCTTCCAATTCATGTCTTAGTATGTGTGTGTATATACACATACACACCTCTGTGTTTTCAGATTCTCAGTTCTGACTACATATCCTATAAATATAGAAAATGCTCCTATGTGTAAACAGACCACCCTTGGATCACCTCATCAGGAAAATGTTCACATTTTTTATTTTATTTACTAGTCCCTTCATTTGGATTGATCTTTACCAATATTGAGATAGATGAGAAAAAAGTATAATTTGAATTGACTTTTTCCCCTTCAAACTGAGTAATTGTTTGAATTGTTTAACTCATCTCAGAGAATGGATATTTGCTTTTCTTTTTCTTCTTTCCTGATTTCTTTGTATTATTCATGTAGAGAATAATACAATTGCCTGATTTCTTGTCTTTACAGCCCGAGTGATTGATGTATCTAATGGTAAAGTCCATGTTGCTGAAAGCTGTTTGGAAGAAACAGGTGGCCTAGGAGTAGATATTGTCCTAGATACTGGAGGTGGGCACCTTATGAAATCAGTAGCCTGTATGACCAGGGAATAATTAGTAATGCATTTATGAATGAATTTGGATGTTTAGTGCAGGGTTTTCTTTTATCATTATTATTATTTTAGATTAATATGAGGGTACAAACAATTAGGTTACATTTGTTCGTGTTTGTTAGGTAAAGTCCAAGTTGTAGTTGAGCCTTCACCCAGATGGTATGCCATATACCTTTCAGTTTGGGGTTTTCTTTTTTTTTTTGCAGTATTTGGCCGGGTCTGGGTTTGAACCTGCCACCTCTGGCATATGGGGCTGGTGCCCTACTCCTTTGAGCCACAGCCGCTGCCCAGGGTTTTCTTTTCAACTAAAGACTTACTTAATTTTGTATTTATTTATTTTGGAGACAGAGTCTCACTCAGTCTCCTTGGGGTTGAGTGCCATGGTGTCGTAGCTCACAGCAACCTTAAACTCTTGGGCTCAAGTAATTCTGTTGCCTCAGCCTCCCAAGTAGCTGGGACTATAGGCATCTGCCACAATACCTGGCTATTTCTTAAAGACAAGGTCTCGCTCTTGCTCAGGCTGGTTTGGAACTCCTAAGCTCAAGCAGCCTTACCTTCCCAGAATGCTAGGATTATAGGCGTGAGCCACCACACCTTGTCCTAAAGACTTATTTTAAATGGAGCATCTTCCCTTTACTCCTGTGGTAAGCACTGTCTTTCTGTAAGAAAAAACATAGTTGCCCTTTAAAACATAGACATTGGCTCGGCACCTATGGCTCAAGCGGCCAGGGCGCCAGCCACATACACCAGAGTTGACAGGTTCGAATCCAGCCTGGGCCTGCCAAACAATGATAACTACAACCAAAAAAAACTAGCCGGGTATTGTGGCAGGTGCTTGTAGTCTCAGCCACTTGGGAGGCTGAGGCAAAGAGAATTGCTTAAGCCCAAGTCTGAGGTTGCTATGAGCTGTGATGCCATGGCACTCTATCAAGGGCGACATAGTGAGACTCTGTCTCAAAAATAAATAAATAAATAAAATATAACACAGACATTGCAATTCAAGTAACAAATGACATATCTCTACAAAGAACCCATAAATATGATCTTCTTTAGTAATTCCCAGATAATATACATTATCATTCAGATGCTTATATACAGCTGCCCTCTATTGAATGGTCGACTTCTACAGTCTCTATTGGAAAATGTACAGAAGTTTGTTCTTTTCTTGAATATTTTTAATTTACCAGTATCTATTTTAACACTTACGTAACACTTAGTATCTGAAAACACTTAAGTAATACCACTGCTCCTAAAGGATAGGTTTTTTTTTAACCTACTGAATGCTTATATTTCTACTATGTTAGAATTTATAAAATCATCTTATAAAATGAGAAGGGGGCTCGGCACCTGTGGCTCAAGTGGCTAAGGCGCCAGCCACATACACCTAAGGTGGCGGGTTAGAATCCAGCCTGGGCCCGCCAAACAATGATGGCTGCAACCAAAAAATAGCTGGGCATTGTGGCAGGGGCCTGTGGTCCCAGCTACTTAGGAGGCGGAGGCAGGAGACTCACTTGAGCCAAGGAGTTGGAGGTTTCTGTGAGCTGTGATGCTATGGCACTCTACCCAGGGGGACAGCTTGAGGCTCTGTCTCAAAAAATAAAATAAAATAAAATGAGAAGGGATAGATAAAGATGACTTTGACTATATGTGATTTTTTAATTTTTATTTATTTATTTATTTATTGCAGTTTTTTGGCCAGGGCTGGGTTTGAACCCACCACCTCCAGCATATGAGGCCAGCACCCTACTCCTTTGAGCCACAGGTGCCACCTGTATATGTGATTTTTTTAAAACAGTATTTTCCAAATTTGAAATCAACTGAGAGAAAATTCTTTCAGTAAAAATAAATGTATATTTAAAAATAAATAAATATATATTTCATTGACACTATTTTTTCAGATCAACATTTCAGTAATTACACTAAATTATCTTGACTGTCTATGGTCTGAAACTCCTAGGCCCAAGCTCCCTTCCTGCCTCAGCCTTCCAAGTAGCTAGGTCTCAAGGGCAGGTCACCAAGTCTAGCTAATCTTTGCTATCTTGAATCTATGAGTTCTTTAATCAGAAATCAACTCATCCCAATATAGTAAACCATCAACATTAGGATTAAAAATATCAGACTTAGTTATGTGTTATGTTGCCTTGCCTGGTTTTCAAATAAAGATAGATATTTTAGTCTTTATATATTTCATTCATTTACTTAAATACAAAGTTAGAGAGTAAATTTAATGTTTTACAAACGATTAGGTTACATTTGTTTGCATTTGTTAAGTAAAGTTTTAATGGAAAAGGTATATTTTTAAGGTATCTGAATGTACTTTTTCTAACGTTGCCTTTTTCTAAGAAAAATGCTTTTTCACTCCTGCATTAAAAAGTAAAAGGCCAAGAGTGGTGGCTTATTCCCTATAATTCTAGTACTTTGGGAGGCTAAGGTGGAAAGGTTGCTCGAGGTCAGGAGTTGAAGATCAGCCTAAACAAGAGCAAGACCCTATCTCTACAAAAAATAGAAAAATTAGCTAGGCAGGGTGGCCACCTGGGAGGCTGAGGCAAGACTATCACTTGAACCCAGGAGTTTGAGGTTGCTGCAAGGTAGGCTGACACCACTGCACTGTAGCCAGGGAAACAGAGTGATTCTCTGTCAAAGAAAGAGAGAAAGAGAAGAAGGAAAGAAAGAAAGGAAAAGAAAGAGGAAGGGAGGGAAGGAAGGAAAGAGGGAGGAGAAATAAGGAAAGGAAGGAAAAGGAAATGAAAGAAAGGAACAACTGGGCATGGTGGAAGGCTGAGATGGAAGGATCACTTGAGTCAGTGTTAGCCTGAGCAAAATAGCATGCCCTATTTCTAAGTAAATAAAAATTTTAAAAAGTAAAAAGAACTTATGTCAATAATACATTTCTATCAGATTATTATATATTTCTTCTAACTATTTTCTTACAAGTGAGATTGTATAGTAAAGATGATGAACCAGCTGCAAAATTACAATTACTACCACATAAACATGATGTTATCACACTTCTTGGTGTTGGAGGCCATTGGGTAACAACAGAAGAAAACCTTCAGGTACTGTCAGAAACAATAAAGCATTACTATGACTACTATCACACAAAAAGAGTGTAATTAACAATAATGTCAAAGTCTTTTTTGAGGCAAGATATGGCTAACTTAGTATAAATTTTGAATTATGTCCTATATTTAAACAAATGTAGCTTTTTCTTTTTCCATTTTAGTTACCTATTGGTCAGAATGTTGAAATACTACCTAATAGAGAAGTTCTTTCAATGAGAATGAATTACAGTTTTATTTAATGATTCAGAAGTAGTGACTTAATTTGTATTAGTGTTTCAAATAGCACTTTTTTCCTTAGTAATAAACATAATTATTGATATATACTTAGAAAAACATTTCTGTATAAAATTATCACAATTTCCTAATTATTCAAATTAGAACTACTATGTTATATGTGTATAGGTATCTCTCAAAGTTATATTTTTCAACAGAATTCTAATAAATATTTATTTCATGGCTGATATGTGAATACCACAGTTGTCTTATACCAGTCTGCATTGATTTTTCTAAAGTCCTCATGAAAGTGACTGGTAAGTAGTAGCCAGAAAAGACTAACATACCCTACCATTTAATCACCAGGATTCTAGGTAGATCCAGGATTCTACCATATACCTATCACCTTGCTTTCATCATTCTGAACCATCAAATAGAAAACATTATACTTTACATATTGTTATTAATTAAAGTTTGTATGCTGATTATTTGTTACTTGGACATTGTCTAATTTGAGAAGTTTTCCTGTCTCAATATATCAATCATGCTTCTGCTCTTTAATGCACAGTAATTGATCGGTCTTTGTTTATTCTATCCAAGTTGGATCCTCCAGACAGCCATTGCCTTTTCCTCAAGGGAGCAACAGTGGCTTTCCTTAATGATGAAGTTTGGAATTTGTCAAATGTACAACAGGGAAAATATCTTTATATCCTTTATCTACTTCAGTTTCTGCCTTGAAATTTACCTTATACTCTACTAATGAGTTATTTTATTATGCCCATAGGAAATAATAATAGAAGTTAACTTTTATTGTGTATGGCAAACAATGTTTTAAGTGCCTTGCAAGTATTAATTCCTTTAAACATTAAAACAAGCCTTTCAGATGTAAGTATAATACTATCATTATCTCTGTTTCATAGGTGAAGAAACAGAAGTGTAGACAAGTTAATGTATATCCAAGGATAGAGCAAGTAACAGAACAAAAATCATAGCCAGGCAGTTTCACTCCTGTCCAAACAGGAGAAAAACCATAAGATAAATGGAAGATTTTCTTTTGTTATGTGTGTGACCTGACATTATGGAAATAACATGTTAACTTGAGTGGTTGCATACTTTTATGATGGTGGCATTGCACAAAACACTTCAGAATACTTATCTAAATTAAAGAGTTTGTGGGTGTTTTATACATATCAGTGCTAAGAAATCTGCAACAAATAAAGATGGTTTTGATTTTTTTTTTTTTTTTAAATAGGCAAGGTCTTGCTCTCCTGCCCATGCTAGATTGCAGTACCTGGGTCATTGCTCAGTGTAGCTCAGTGTAAATCTTGAACTCTAGGCTCAAGAAATTCTCCCACCTACTTGGGAAGAAGTAGCTGGGACTATAGGTGTGCAGCACCACACCCAGCTAATGTTTTTTTTTTCTCTTCTTCCCCATTTTTTTTTTTTTTTTT